CATACTGCTCAATAATTTACAATGCCATATGTAGAGGAGCCATGTATACTACCTGAATTTCACAAGAGATAGAAAAGATTTCAGTGCTGTTTGTGGTAATCTGGTAGCATATGTGATAATGAGGGACAATGATTCCCAACATTCTGGTCCTCTAGTGAGATGTAAAGTCAAACATATATATTGCCTTTATCAATACATGCATCTTTCTACAACTGTCATTTGTATATATTCTGTGGTAGAAAGTATGGTATTGCAGAACTTTCTCTGTGGATTTTTTTTTTTAAATAATCTCCCATAGTCCAGATTTATTAATTTCTATTGCCTTCTGTGTAAGACTATTTGAACTTTTTCTTTCTTTCATTTCGCACTTGGGTATTAAGTGCCCATATTTATTCAATATCATCGAAACACTTTTATGACTGTAAATGTCACATTGCAATTCCAGTAACTATGAATCCTGTTGTAGATAATTGCTTTGCTACCATAATAAAAGAAAAAAACACATTTAAAACTTTGACACTGCATTTAAAATGAAACCCTATTGTATTCTTCACCAGAAGTCTACACTTTCGCTTTCAAAATCACTTTCAATGACTAAAATCATAGTAATATCAGCACTTGAAAGCACTTGTCTTATTTAGGCAAATGATATTAGGATACATTTTATTTGAACATTTTTCTACTTTGCAATACCAAACCTCTCACTGACATACACAGAGTCGTGTACCCTGTCGCAATATATATATATATATTTATATATACAGTATACTTATACTGTATATATATTGAGAGAGAGTGTTTCATTAAGTCATGCTGTGCAGCTCATATGCTTTTTCAAGTTGATTATTATCATACAGGGTTTATATAGCGCCAACAGTTTGCGCAGCGCTTTACAATATAAAGGAAGACAGTACAACTACAATACAGTTCAATACAAAAGGGTGCAGAGGGCTCTGCTTGTGTGAGCTTGCAATCTAAAAGGGAGGAACAAGTGATACAAAAGGTTATTAGTTGATGCTGTTGTGGTGTATTTTCCATTCTTGAGGGCATTCAGTCACAGGCAGTGTGGCTGTTAGTGCAGTGGTTCAATGCCATAACTGTAGTTCTAGAATGGAGGAGGACACCATGACTTGTGTGTGACTGGCCCACCAGCCCTGCCAGAAGGGGAAAGTAGAGGCTGAGTGGTCATGTGACTGCACTGATCCATACTTGAAAGATTTGTAATAAGTGTATGCCAGTTGTACAGCCCCCTCTCCTGTATTGAATTTGCTTACTCTGATAGCACTGCACACTGTGAGCTTCTTACAGTGTGCATTAGTTGCAGCAAGTCAGATATAGAGCCCACCTCATCCCCAGGCTGGAGGGCATCCTGCATCATCTAGCCTTTTCCTCACCAGCTTGACTGTCCATGGCATACCCCATTTATTCACTAGATTCAATAAATAATTTCAGTCATGGAGGTTTAGAATCAAATGTGAGCATTACCTAGGGCAGGGGTCAAAATTTCAAGTCCTGAGCTACTAGCCAGGCTTTTAGAGTTACTCGCCACCAGTTGCCCACCATACCCCTACCCTTAACTCCACCCCTAAACACACCCTCTTAAATAATCTTATAAATCACACTGTTAGATGTTTTATAGGGCATTATGCATGCAATTGCAGTTTTCCTATGAATGCCCACTCCTCCAGACTGACATCCACCCATCAAAGGATTTTGATATTTTCATAACTCCTCCCAAAAGCCAGACCACAGCTTACATCAGGTTTTGAGAAGATTACTGAGGTACAGTGCTGTTATATTTCAGGAGTCAGCTATGCACAGAACTCTGCTGGCCCCACTTACCAGTCTGGTTTTGCATTGAGAATCTCAAGTCTAAAATAGGGTATGTAATGAAAGCGGAAAGGTCATGTCATTAACATGTTGATGAGGTGGGGAGGGAGGAACCAGGGAAGGTAAAGCATAAGATTAAATTTCATCATTAGCTAATCAGAAGTATGTAACAATAACGTTCAGTGCATTGCTAATCTTTTTAAAGAATACAGACATACACAGCTATTAAGAATAGTAAATGCTGACTCGCTTATAAATTAATTGAGATTAAAAATTATTATTATTGCATTGAGCACCTTGCATTCATTCGCATGTGAGCAAACTGAACATGGGTATTGTTTAGTCAGTCTATCTCAGTGAGTAATTTCATCCCATAATGTGAACTCATGTCATTAGGCAATAGAATGACAACTCATCTAGAAATTTCTGCCATTAAGGTCAAAAACTGAAACATTTTCTTTCTGAGTATTAAGGATTATGTCAAAATAGTGACACTGGTATAATGAAATGTCCAGATTACATTTTAAGTCTATCTGACTTCCAGCCAGTGTCTGTGATGCATAATTTAGGAATTCTGGAATTTTAACTTTCTCAGCACGTTGAAATTAACTAATGATACACATGTGCCTCATGGTGTAGAATTAATTATAGCTGTAATAGATCTAGTCCTAGAATGCTTTGTGCAATGGTGAAAGGAAATAAGTCATAAGAGAAATATAGAAGGTGCCATTACTAGCTTTATTCTAAAAATGCTTGCTGCCTTGGCTGCCATGCTGACCCATTGGGGTTGATTTACTAAAGGCAAATAGGACATTCACATTTTAAGGGAATTTTTACTTGGCAAGGGAAATTTTTCTTAGCTTAGTGAATGTAGAGAAAATTAACTTTGCAAAGAATACCCAATCATGTGCAAGGAAAATAAATAGGACACTATTTTTGCTTGCACCTGATTGGATGATGGAAGTCAGTAGAGCTTCACATCATGCACTAAGCTATTGGAAATTCCCTTGCAAAATGGAAATTTCTTTTCAAAATGAGCATGCTATTTGCACCAATCTCTTCAGTATTCTATGTATTTATTACAGCCATTGATATAGCGCAGCTTTTTTACATCACATCAGTCCCTGCCCAGAGTTTAAAGATTCTATGGTTCTTATCCCATGCATACATAGATACGTACCTTTAGTTACTAACCTGGAACAAGTATGCTGAACGAGAGTTCAGAAGTCACTTGCTTGCATCTTGTTTTGGGCCTTTGACTGAAAGTATAGTAGCCAAAGGATCAACATAACTGTCTTTTGAAGACCAATGTTAGGCTATTTGCACCAATCTCTCAGGGATCTCAAGTCTCCCTGATGTTCAGGGAGTCTCCCTCTTTTGGACAGCAGCTCCCTGATGTACGCGAGAGAGGCATTTTCTCCCTGAAAGGTTTACTCTTAATAAGTGCTTGCATCTTGTTTTGACTGAAAGTATAGTAGCCAAATGATCAACATAACTGTCTTTTGAAGACCAAGGTTAGCAATGGCAACCTCAATATTTTTCTGATTTTAGGTTTCCTTCACATGCCCCCTGTCTCCCATTTCCTTTCGCTATTCAGCCTTCTGTGTCACCTCTAACCTACTCGTTGGGCAATAAATTACCTTTTCGCTGTTAATCAATTGTCCATTGAGCATGCAGTCGATATCGGAAGCTGTAAAGCTTAACCAGGGGTCAATGTTCTGGTAATGCAGTGTGGCAGAGGTGTGTGATTTCAAAGACTGATAGGCAAAACAGTTCACATACAGTATATGCATATATAGATTTCCTTATTTTCAGTGGGTAAAGGCAGAACCTGATTGTAGCAAAGAGAATCATTTCCACTTGGAATTCCAGCCTTTTTTTTTTTTGGACACATTAACGATAGGATAGGTCCTCTATGAAATGTGGGGACATTTCCCCTCACTTGCTTTTTTACTAGCCACCAAGCCTTTGTTATTCACTGAATACATTCATCCTCTTCCTGAAGTATGTTATCCATAGATTTATGTGGATAATCCTCTAGACAGAATATCAGCAGGGCGTATAGGGCGTAGTGGAGTTTCCAAATAAAAATATGGGGAATGCACACCAGGGACATGTGGTCAGGGGAGGCAGGTGAGGCAGAGCCTCACCTAGTATTATGAAGAAAAAAGGTGTCAGCTTCAAGTCTGAAGCTGAGAGCTTTTTCCCCATTCAGAGCGGCTTGTTACAGGTTACACAGCAGGGAAAACCTCGCCTCTGTGTGACCTGTCATGGACGGAGCTCTGCCTGTTAATTATAGGCAGCGCAGCATCTAGCTTTTGACAGGTAGTTAGGTTACACGGCAGCGGGCTTCCCCACTGCTCGGCGGGACGGGGCTTCATTGAGCTGGGTAATGCCACACTCAGCACAGTAGGCACGTCACGTCACGTCACTGATGCACACAACAGAGAGGAAACGGGAATTGCAAATCATATTTCAGCAAAGTATTTGTGGTCACAAATCCAGCAAGTGAGGGAAAACCCCCTAAATAGTCCATTAAGGGCAAAGTACCAGGTTCTCTTGTAAGATGAGAAGAGAAATTGTCACCTCTCACCACCCAATCACCTGCTACTACTCACTTTCTGGAAGCTCCCCCACCACTCCATTGGAGCCTTTGGTAATTATTGAGTGATCTGGGTATGAGGGAGAATGTGACATACTTACATTCTGGCTGCTCCCCCCACCACTGTCAAAGCCCTTAGTAAATACTGAGTGTTTCTGGGTATAGGGGAGAATGTGACCTTCTCCAGGGATGCCATAGTTGGGTCAAAGCCTGAACACTGTTGCTTTACAAGCAGAAGGAATTTAACCCCATGTGAGTACTAATACCATCCGACACGAGGCTTACATAAGGTAAGGACTTCAAATAAGCAGTGGGGTGGTTTGGGGATGGGAAAGGTGCATATAATTTTAATGACGGGATTGGTCAACCATTTAGTTAATCAATAAAGCTAAGCAGGCAACAGGTCTCAAGAATGCCAACAGCTTCTCTGACGCGCGAATCTCATTGGCATATGCTAGAGCAGACAGATTGCCAGGAAAGTCCTATTTACAATGTAATGTTTGGATTTCTTAATCTGAGCAAATAAAAGCATTCTTATTTATGTTTCTTTGTTTGGGTTTCATTTTAGGATGTCCCACCTCCTGGTTCCTACAATGTGAGTGAATCATATGAATATCTGCATGCCAAGGGCAAATATAGGCCACCCAGGACTGTCCAAGCCAAGAGAAAGCAATCTTTCCTTAGTGGGGTTCCCAGAAACCTTGCCCTGCAGAATGACTCTCACGTACCAGGTAAGATTATATTATGCCCAAGTGGTCCAATATTTGCTAACGATTCAACAGATTTAGACACTGCTTACAACTGGGAGATCATTTGACTTTTTAGAAGTTCCCCACGTGATTAAAAGGGCATGAAAGCTCCAATGCTCTACTGATGCAAGAAAGGTAAAATAAATATTGCACAACCTTTAGTTCTTAGTAAGAAATCTGCCTATTCATGGCTGATTTTACACCTGTCATTGTAATTAAAAGGCATGTAATATAAAACAACGAAGCCTCTGTTTCTAAGCTGCATAATTTTTTGTAATTGTTCTATCCCTATGACGTGGAACAGTTTTGAACAGTTTCTTATTCTTTTTACAGTTAATGCTACTTGACAGTACCAAGCAGTTGGGCAAAATAGAGATGGTAAAAGATTTGTAAATACTAGTTTGTCATTAACAATAATGTCTGTAATCACTTCTAGTAAATTTTTCCCCCTTTCTTGTTTATGAAACACCATAGTGAGAGCTTTTACATTAGACTATCAGGAATATATGCTGGGAAGTGGGAAGCACTGCGAGAATGCTTCCTGCCAGTAAACTGCAAGGTCACATGCCCACAAATACCCTAAATATTGATAGCTATATGCTGAAAGCTAATGTAATGGTGAATGCGAAAGAAACTATTGAGCTCTATCACACCAATGTATCACGATACGTTAGGTTGGAGTGCCAGGAGCTCAGAGTGTGTTAGAATTCAAGAATGTGTTAAACTGAAGACATTTGTCATAAAACTGCTACAAGTAGCATTTATTTGATACAGATGAATTCCTGTTATAAGGATTTTGTCCAAACATAGGCTGTCCTCACTGTAACATGACAGATAGCATTAGACAGTTGCTTGCACTTGGCTAGATAAGGAACTTGTACTGTATATACATTGCTATAAATAATTATTTGTAGTTGCTTATACTAGTTAGGTTACATTTCTGGTTTCATATTTACATTCAGCAGTTTTTTAAGGGCCTAGGCAAATATTATAATGAAAAATTCACATTCGCAGAGTAAATTAGTAAAGCACGGCGTCTTTAAAAAAGTGATTCTTCCCTATCTTCCCAACCTTTGAGACTTCTTACAAACAGAAGCACCACAGGGGATATTTTAGTAAGTTTCTCAGGAAACCTTATATCCAAATAATGCCTTTTTTCCATATGCCAAAGTCCCCTCCGTGTCATCTACAGCGGAATTGCTTTCATATATGCAGCTGTGGAGAGAAATAAAAACAACAGGCACCTTATTTCATCTACAATTAGTCAAAGCAGTGGAATGAAGCCACATAGTAGCCGAGACTATAGTAAATGAATAAATGTGCTATTACATTGGAAATAATGAATCCAATTATATAATTTTCTGTAGAGGCTTTTTTTTGTCAAGTGCACTCATTGTACATTCTGTTGTATGCCATACACACATACAATAATCTTCCCTATGTGCTATACAGGAAAACCGCTGCGACCTAGAGCATTTTTCCTTTGTTGTGGACAAAAGCTTAAAACAGGTTTAGGCTTTGCTCTTACAGCTTAACAATGTGGAAATAAAAGCGAATAACAATGTTTTCTTTCTGGGGTAAAAGAAAATGAATTATTATGGAAAAAATTTAACCTACTTAGTAAAGATGTATCAGGAGATGTCTTTTGAAAACATCACAGCTCTAAGTGTAGAGGACCTTGTTTATATATGTGGCAATTTTTCTTTGATGAATTATAGTTTATAGTTATTTATGCCTTTTTATTTGTCTTTGTGTTTGTATCATAAGTATTTTACCCTAATGACTACATAGCTGGCTTTTAAATTATCTTGTTCTAGTTTTAGAATGTGCCTTTGTTGGCTTTTTGAGTCAAAACATGTTTTTTTCACCATACATATAATTGGGATGCAGCACATCCCTAAATGCTTTCACTGTATCACCTATATTTGGCCATGTGACAATCACAGATCACAGGGCCAATACAAGGCATGCATGGGGTAGTGTCACTATTGTCTACATCAGCCATCAATGGCCTCCCTGCACTGCTCTGTTTTGGAGGATGGGACCAAGACCTACCTGCTTAGAGTGATCTGCATTAAAAAAATACATTGATGTAGAGGGGTAGTAAAAAAAGGGTCAATAGAGTGCCCCAGTACAGGAAGGGCATCAGGGTCAGGATGCAGTTAGTTGAGGGACCAGGCCAAAATGCACAATCGGGACTTTGTTGCCAAAGTCCTGATTGCCATCTGCAACATAGTTGACAACAGTCTTTATTCATATTGATTGCATATTTGTACATCTATGTTACTTTTCTCATAAACTATATTGTCTTGCTTGTGCTGAGTATTGCTACTTGCAGGTTTCAACCTCCTTTCTGTTTTTTCACATGGGACATAGTATGCGTGCACACCCCACTAGAGTTTCCCTTTTCCACTCTGTAGCTTCTGTGGTGAAGCTGCACACATTTTCATACTGCTTTTCCTTAAAGTCCATTC